TGAGACGGCGGCGTCCTGTCCGCTTCTCCTTAGCTCACCCCTCCCCCTTGTTCCCTCCCTTTTTGAACTGCCGGGTCGGCACGCCGCCAAAGAGCGCGCGGTTAGCGTTATTGAGTGGCATCGCTAATTGACGTTTCATTTTTTTTGTCGCCGTCTCTGTTGCAGAAGCTGGCGGATCATGTAGACCATTGGCCTCTGGCTCTGAGCAGGCCATAATAAATCTCGCCATGGGCCTGCAGGAGGTAGCTATTTGGTACCAGAGAAAAATTGGAACATATGACAAGCAACTATGGGAGCGAACTGTAGAACAAAGAATCTTGCATGGGCTCACTCACGTACCCAGGAAGTCTGCAAAGCTCAAGACCGAACTCATTGATGTGGATCTAGTCAGAGGTAAGAGGTCTCCCCTTGTCGTCTCATCTCAGTTAAAGCTACTACTATTGTGTGTCAAGTCTGTACACATATTTGTTTTTATTTATTTAAATGGCTGCTTTTTATTTGTAGGTTCTTCCTTCCCGAAAGCAAAGCCCAAGCATGGTCTCATTACTGTTGCTCGCCTTGGTATCCTACGCCTCTTATTTTTGCCAGCTTATTGGCATTGGTGGGTGCAGCAAACATCACTAAAAGCATTTTTAGTCTTGTTGGTCTTATACTTGTTACAAGCCTTCAATGTTGGATTATATATTCACTTCATCCAACATCATCCCGAAGATGTAGCTGATGTAAGATCCTCTCTCCCTCTCCCCCCCTCTCTCTCTCTCTCTCTCTCTCTTCTGTTTTTTATAATATTTCTATTCTTTTATGTGTTGATTACAACTTTTTGGTTTCACTTGGCAGAATGTGTCAGCATGTGAGGTGCTTGTTCCAACCTTTATGATGATTATTCTTTCCATTATTCATTCACAAATTGTTTGTACACACAATGGACAACCTCCAGAATTACATGATAGGTCAAGGAGACGTATTAAACGTACAAAGCGTAGAACTCAACTGCCAAGTCGGATTCGCTCTTTAAGTGTGTATCAGTTTGGAACTTTTGATATACGTTTTAGAAAATTTGAATGTTTTTAAAACCTTTTCTCTTAATTGTACAGATCCTGATCTAAAATCCTCCACTCCAGAAACAGAAAAGCAACCTTCATTAAATGAAGTTAGTGGGAAATTCAACAAGAGAGTTATTCCGAGGAGGTATGTTGGTATATAGTGCTTTTGTTTTGGCAAAAATCTACTACATTCTTTTACGTAATTGTGTTTGCTTTTTTCAACCATAGGAAAATAGATGATTCCAGCAGAAAATGCAAACTTTCTGATGCAGACGCAGAGGGGAACTGTGAGGATCCTCCCAAAATAAGAGTATGCTTTAAAGAGCCAGCTGATGATGAAGATAGTGTTGAGCAGGAGTGAGTTTCAAAATATAATAAAACATTCCATTTTAAAAGTTTTTTTGAAAAGTTCTTTTATTCACAACTTTTTTTTCAATATTCTTACAGACCAGTTAATAATCAAGCAGGACGTGAAGGTACCCCTCTAGATGATGACGGGTTTGAGAGTTTAAATGGAAATGGTTCCAGTGAAAATGGAGACGAACCAGTGGATGAAGATATAGAACCAGGAAATTCTCCAAACTTACCTAAAGTCAAGAAAAATTCAGATGAATTCCCTGAAATATTTGTAAAATGCCCCGACAAATGCCGGTTGAATATAGAAAGAAATCAAGAGGACAAGGTTGAAACTAATTTTAATAACACGTGCTGTGAAAATGTAATTTGTGATGATAAAGTACCTAATATAGATGTGTTTGAAACATATAAGGAAAAACCATCTAAGTTTAGAATAATTGATACATGTAAGGAGGAAGAAGACAGCCTTGAGAAAAAACCTCTTGGTGCCTCAGATTTTGATCTAAGCAATAATGAAGGCAATTCCAGCACTGAGTGGCGAGGCAAAACTCGCAAGGACTCTCGAAGAGAATCTGATGGGGGTTGGTCATGTGAGGAAGTTGATAAAATTATGAACAGAAATCATATCATACAACGAAGACAATCAGCACCTCTACCTCGCACTTGCCGTGCTGCTCAAGACACAGACAGTGATGGATTGTCCACAAACAAAGAGGTATGGTATTAAATATTGTATATTGTTTAAATCAAGTGAGTTATTAAAGTTGTAATTTTACCCTTATTTTCTATTTTTAGAGTGAAACACTATTAGAGAGACGACGAGGCTCTCAAAATTTGCTACTGAAGTGCCCAATAGTCACAGCTGAAGAGAGCAGTTACAATAGTAGCTGCTGTGATGAAAGTGAGGAAGGAGGGGATGAAAGATTATCATCCCCAGGAGCCGTTGGGTCAGGCTGTGATAATCAAAATCTTACTGAAGGAGGGACAACTTCAGCAACTGATTATATGGGTGTAACCACAAATTCTGAAGAATGCAGTTACAGTTCTGATATGGATGAATCTGATTCCCAAGCTGCACCTGTTGAACTAAATGACCATCCATTTGCTTGGGAATTTGAGCAGGTATATTTTCTTTCTAGCTGATTGCTATTTTGCATTAAGTTTCCAAGTTTTAAATCCAATTTTATCTGAAAACTTTTGTTACATGTTCTAGTCTCCAACAGTAATATTAAGTCCAAGCTGTGCTGCCTCTGACAAAGTAAGTTGTACCATGTGGGAATGTCGAGATGTGAAAAAAGCAGATTTGTCTGTTCTTGATATAAGTTCAGCAATTATTGCAAGAGTTGAAGCAATGCCAGACACCATGGACTACTTTTATTTGGGTAAGATTTCTGTACTTGCTCGTACTAGATAGCAAAATATCTATTAATATCCATGTAATCTAAACCTTCTCCTTTTTGGTTCTAGGAATGGTATTAGCATTATTGCTATCATTAGTGCCTCCATTTTGTCGGCTGTTGATATCATCAGCAGTGGATGTATCATTACCTTCATTACATCCTGATTTGAACAACAGTTCAGTACATCTTTCTAGTTGGAATATGTCACAAGTTTTGGAATACATTTCAGAATGTTCTACCATCATGATAAGTGGTGCCTTTGGATTGTCTTTTTGGTATGTTATGTTAGATAATGTGTTCAGATACATGAGTAATTACACTTTTTCTAAGGGCTGTCCTCATTCTGTTATCATGTTTTATTATTTGCAGTGAACGCACTATCATGATAATTGCACTTTTAGAACGTTTTGCATTGGCAGAGTTATTCTTCTTCTTACTTGCTGTTGCTGAAAGGTCATTTAAGCAACGGTTTCTTTATGCCAAGCTCTTTTCTCACTTAACATCTTTTAGACGAGCCAGAAAATCTGAGCTCCCCCATTTCCGCCTAAATAAAGTTCGTAATATTAAAACTTGGCTTTCTGTGCGCTCTTATCTGAGGGTAAGTTTCATGGCCAAGTAAACTATTTAGAATTGTTTACAATCCTGATTATTTCATTTTAAAAATTGCTTTTTTAGAAACGTGGTCCGCAGCGCTCAGTTGACATGTTGGTGTCAGCTGCTTTTATCATCACATTACTCCTCCTTACGTTCCTCATTGTGGAGCTTCTTAAGGTCAGTTGGGGTGATCATGGCAATGCATATTGTGATGGTCATGTAGCCGTGCAGTCAAGTAATTCTTCACTCAAGCAGTCAAGCTCATGTAAAAAACGCGCCCTCGTGAGTATGCAGCTGATGTGTGCGGATTGCGCCTGCTGCCTGCTGACGAGTGTTGTGTGTTCCTAGTGCAGAAGATTGAGATATGTTCCCTGGGTTTTGCTGAGAGGAGTCTAGGAAAATTAACTCAGTACATCAATAATAATCGTTGACTCCCCATTACTTTTACTAATGTTTTGAAGACAAAACCCTAACCAAAAACATTAAAGTTTTGCCCAATTATACAATTTGTCCAAACAGTATTTTATGGAATCCTACCTGTATGGCTACAAGGACTGCATGAACTAAAATACTGTTTGTCCTGTTAGTACAGATCATTTTTTTTTTTTTAATCATGCTTTGTTTGTTTATTTATTTGATTTTTTTCCTCTAAACTTACAGGAATCAGTACGTCTTAATTCCCAGTATAACATGGAAGCACTTTGTTGGTGCCTGTCCCTGGGTTTGTTCCTTCTTCGATTTATGACTTTAGGAACTGATATCAATCGGAAGTACTGTAATTTATCAGTTCTTATAACAGAGCAGGTATACATATTTTTCAGATATACTTTTCTTGATATACATCTTGTGTAACATTTTTCTAATCTCGTTTTTGTATTTGTTTAGATCAATTTATACCTTCAAATTGAGCAGAAACCCAACAAGAAAGAAGAACTGATGGTTGCCAACAGTGTTTTGAAACTAGCAGCTGATCTTTTAAAGGTAAATTGATAGTGCCTTACTTTCCACTTGTGTCCAATATGACAATTGTAGGAAAATTTGATTTTATCACTCTCTGTTTCAGGAGTTGGAGAGTCCATTCAAGATCTCAGGCTTATCAGCCAACCCCTATTTGTACAACATAACAAATGTTGTGATATTATCAGCCTTATCAGGAGTCCTCTCTGAAATTTTGGGTTTCAAGCTGAAGCTACACAAAATAAAGATAAAGTAAACTAATATGTGATGAAAGTGTAAGAATAGTGTTATTTTATTTTCTCCTAGTATGATTGTAATACTTCTTACGCCGGAGATATTTGAAAAGGAAAGAAACGTGTTTGTCAAGAATTGTATGGTGGCTTACCACAGAATTATGTCTATGGTGCTCTGTGGTTCTGTGATTTTAGTTAGGATCTTTCCAGACTGTTGCAGAGCTTCCTTTGATTATTATTTTTTACCATACACATGGAACTATGCAATAAATCACATTTCAGTTGATAAAAAATTAGGTATAAGAAACCCAGTTAGTTCTCTGTGAGTGGACAAATATATCAGGGAGTCTTATTATCAGTGACTCAAGTTAAGTTTACTGGAATTTGTCTTCTGATCCTTTTTTGTTGTCTTTTCTCGTGAAATATTTCAATCATAGTTGGTTGTTAGGCAGAGCTTCTTATCTACGCATAAGGGTTCCATTAATTTTTCATGGTACAAAATGCAGTACATGCAATATCAGTAGCTAAAGTTGTTCTAATGAAATAAGTATCAAGGTCAAGATTATGGGGAAACTCTCTTGCACATTGGAGCACAATGAGTATATATTTTATGACTACCATGTAGTCTAATAAGTCAGGAAAATATGTTGTTGCTTTTCTTTTTATGAAATTACTGTTAAATTAGTTTTTCTAGTTAACAGTTTATTTAGTGAATTCAGTTGTAGCAT